GCGTAGCTCTGCTACAATATTAAAAACAATTACAATTCATCAATTTTTTGGGGATTTTTTCATTATTTTTTATGCGATTTCGGTGTAACAATCGATATATGCCGAACCAAACCGAAAACCGTGACCACGAAACCGTGAACCGAACTGTGGATTTTGTGAACCGTTCCACCCCTAATCTTAACTGCATTTAGTGTATTTATACATCAATTCACAACAAATAATATCCAGAGACTTTACAAATACCAATTCATTGACAAAAATGGATGATTAAACCAGTTAAAATATTAAAAAATCTTTGTAACACTGCAGTACTACTGTATCCAAGGTAAGCCAGCTATAGAACATCTTTTAAGAAAGTGAAGCATTATCTGTGAAAAAGAAACTTTCAGTTGGAGAAAAGAAAAAAACCCTGATTGCTGCTGTAAAAACTGACATGTGTTTAATGTGCTCCAAGCATGTTTACCAGCTTATTTTTCAATTTAACCGTTTATGTCCATCAAAAATAAAAAAAAAAAAAAATTCCTCAGAGTAGAGGATACTGCACAAAGAAAACATCTGATATTCTACTTGTAGAAACTGGATGGTTCCTTTTAACAAGAAATTAAAAGTCATGCAGCTCAGTACAAGCTAAAGGATGCTAACCAGTTAGCTACAGAGCACAGCGAATCAGAGCCCTACTTTTCCAACAGACTCTCCAAAGCTAAGCAGATCAAAACCTCTGCATGTGGGACAAACTTTTTCCAACCTCTAGAGTCCTGAGTTGAAAAGTGACTTTTTGGGGCAGCAGTCCAAACAATGACGCAATGTGTTAACATGGAAGAAATAAAGTCAGCACTTCACTTTTCTTTTCAAGCATGGATGTTCTGTTGACATTTAATCCAATAAATGTACATAAACATGAAATAAAACTCCTCACAGGACCTTAAATAGACAAGCAGCAACTGAATGTTTTGCCCAGAAGTAGTGGAGCCACATCGTTTTGAGTAAACTATATCCCTGAGTGTTGGTTGACGCTATTAAGAACCCTTGTTAAGAAGTGGTTGGCTTGGTGGGATAAACCGCAGAACGAATGAAGTGAAGATATGTCCAAGTTGGTCTCTTATCATTTAAAGGGATCATAGAACGCAAAACAGTGTTTCCATTGTCATAGATGAATAACAA